GTGATGCTTGCAAAGATAAAACTTTAATATATTTCCTTTGAAATTTTCTAAAATACATTTTAGGAGCATGGGTGAATGCGTACTATCTAAAGAATAATACAGATTTTTTAGAAAAGTAACTGTTGAACAAAAAAATGAGGCAGTTGCTAAAACTTGTTTCCAGGAACTTATTCATTTATTGTTGCTGAACTTAGAGAACTATTTATTTAGAATAATAATTTTTAAAACCTGTCACTTTTTGTTCTGTTTTTTAAAGGGATTTTTAGTCTGTTACATATGATTTTTGAGTTAGTTTTAATATCTTAAGAATTCTCTCCCATTAGATTGCCAATTTGATCTCTTTCTTACCCTGTTCGTAATACAGAAGAATCATGACTCATATTCTAACCCTAAATAAAGCAGCATCTCTGTATCTGTTTTGTTGGCCTACTTTCAGAGTGGCATCTGAAGAAAGCATATGGGCTGAGTCAGTGTGGTGGTGCCATCTCTACCCCCTCAAGCTGTCTTTTCACAGCTTTTGTTTCCTGAGTCTCAAAGCTGTTTTTCATTTCAAAGTGCTAGAGGTAGAAGCCATATAAATCCATTCAGGAATTCTTTCCAGAAGCATATGCCAAATTCTCACCTCAGGGAATAAGTTTTAGTTATTTTATTTTCTATGCAAGTAATCCAAGTTAGCATTTAAAAAATTTCTCTATATAAATATAGGTTGTTTTTTGCAAAGGAAATATAAAAATTATTAAACTTTTAAATATTCCAAGATCTATAATTAAAATTAAGACAGATGATAGCAGTTTATTATTTTTGTCTTTGTTGTAACAATGAATTGCTAAAAAAAATTGGTCCTTGATGTTTTCAAGAAAAAAAATCATTTTTTGTGTAATTATCATAGGAATTTAAAAAGATATTTATAAGCATAAATCACAAAATATACTTGAAATTTGCAAGTAGCTTCTAATTTATACATACACATATATGTATAATTTATCAGGCTATTTCCTACATATGTAAGTAGGAACAGTGAAGTATGTTCTCTCCCATTTGGGAAAATAACCTGGAATAAGGTGGAAATTTAAATAATAAAACCAAAAATCTTGTCACATTTAGGCCTTATTTAACTGATAAAAGCTTTCTATGCACAAGCAAATATTAAACCAAACATATGGTAGGACTGTTATTCTTGTCCATGTCTTATCCTTGGTTTGTTTCTGCATTTATTTGTAAAAACTGTCGTTTTTTTTTTTTTTGGTACCGGGGATCGAACCGGGTCCTTGTGCTTTCGAGGCAGGCAGTGGAACCACTGAGCAAAATCCCTGGCCCTGTAAAAACTGTCTTAATTATCAAAACATATGCCAAGGCAAAGAAGCAGAATTACTAATTTCAAATATTATAATGATATTCCAAGGTGACTTTTTATCCTGTGGGTCTATAATTATATGAATTGTAAACAAGAAGCCTACCCATTTTTAATGCCTGACCTTTCTACTTTAATTTAATCTCAGGTGTTTTGTCAGTCTGCCTAGGTTCAAATCCTAACCCCACCACCTCTCAATGGGTGACCATGGTCAAACTACCTATCTCTTTGTGCCTCAACTTTCTCCTCTTAAAATGGGGATGATAATGATGATGATAATAAAACTACCTCACAAGGTTGCTTTGTGCATCAAATGAGATAACACAAGTAAAATGCTTAGAACCATTCCAAGCACAAAGTAAATAATAAATATTAACTAAAAGTAGCAATTCATGAATCTATTTTTAATAACATAATAGGCAGGCTTTTGCTTTATTATCTTTTTTTTTTTTGGTACCAGGGATCAAACCTGGGACCTTGCACTTTTGAGGCAGGTGCCGGAACCACTGAGCTAAATCTCTGGCCTTATTATCTCTTTAAACTGTTAACTTTCTCCTCTTGTTATAAGTCTATGTCAAATATTATTAAAGTAAGGTAATTTGCTTATTTTTAAGTTACCCATGCTCCCTAATCTAAAGAACATAAATGAAGATAATTCATCATTCAATAATCAACCTTATTTTATTGTCAGAAATGTTCATGTGTCAAAATGTATTTTGTATCATTCAATAATTTATGCCCAGAAATAAAAGATATTCTACAAGAAAATAAATAAATAAATAAATAAATAAATTGGTCCTCGTTTTCTTAATATCCTTAAGATACTAGAAAAAATATTTTATTTTTTTTTTTTTTTTTTGGTACCAGGGATTGAACTCGGGTCCTTGCGCTTGTGCAGCAGGCAGTGAAACCATTGAGCTAAATCCCCGGTCCTATACTTTAATTTTTAAGTCTGATATAATTACTACCTGTCAGATTCCCCTCATCTTGTCCTTGTACATGACATTTCTCCTTGACTGGAATACCCTCTCAGTTCTCTCACCTAACTATTTAAGATCCAGACTAAAATCCAGGCCAATATTTCTCAAAATAGTTTACATAAGTCAGTAGTTTATATGCTCTGTTTATTATATACCACGGGCCGAGCCTGAAGATGGTCCTTCGTCTCTTCCCTGCTCCCTTTCTCCTCCACAGATTAAACAGACTGTGTCCGTTTGACTCATATTTTAGACGCTGGATGACACGGCCCTGGGAGACAGTTACCTTAGTTACCTTGTATCCTTCCCTGTTCCTTTCCTGCATGCCCCAATCACGAAACAGTCACTACATACTGCCTAGGCCGAGTAGGCCACGTAGCACTATTTGCCCCGCCTTCTCTTCCTGTTTGCCTTCCACTATAAATAAAGAGTCCGTGGTGCTCCAGCCGGCCATTAGCTCGCTACGAGCTATGGTTACGCTTGGTCCCGGCTAAGAGTAATCTTGGTCTCGGCATCTTTTCCTCATCTCCCACTGCTCTCCCTGGCTTCGGACCCTAGCTCTGCGGATGGCAGCAATTATATATCATGAGAAAAATGGGTTCCATGGTCAAATAAGTTTTGAAAACTCAAATAATACATTTTAAGCAGGATTGTGGTTATGTTTTTTAATTTCAAAGAGGTCAGTCATTGGTTTGCTTATAACCCTTGTGACTCATGAAGATGACAGTCTACTGTACAGTTTCTCAAACTTCTTTGACCATAGACTCCTTCAATGAAATATTCTTTGTACAAATGAATTTGAATCCTTTAGCCATTTTGGTTTTTTAAAATCCTGTTGAAATAACTTACATCACCATCCCAATTTCCCCTCATGTTTCTGAAGCTTCTCTTCAAACTTCTTAATCTACACTTTATTCTTTTCTTTTTTTTTTTTTTTTTTTTTGGTGCTAGGGATTGAACTTGGGACCTTGCGCTTGCAAGGCAGGTGGCGGAACCACTGAGCTAAATCTCCGGTCCAACTTTCACTTTATTCTTAAAGAGAACCATTTACTTGATAACTAAGATTTTTGTGGTCCTTAAATGAAGATAATCTACACTAAGGGATATATAGGTCCTGTTCATTCTTCCTCAGTTCTAGTAGATTCTGGAAACTGCCAACAGAAAGTCTTAAAAATTGAATTATTAAGTTACTTCTGGTAACACAGCTAATAAAAATAAGCACTTATTCTGGCACCTAAAATCTTTTAAGTTTCAGTTTATTGTTCTTACTACTCATTGATCTGCAAATGGTTATATGGATTTTTATTGAATTGCTACGTGTATTACCAGGATTTATTTTTTAAATTGTGGGAAAATCCTAAATTTACTATTAAGTGATACAGATAATACTTAGTATTTGTTTTTCCACTTTTATTTCCATTTCAACTTAAGGGAATTATAAATAATATTCCTCATTTATAGTGCGGGGGTTGGCGAATGATGGCCCTCAAGCTAAATCTGGCTTATATCCCATTTGGATAAATGTAAAGTTTTATTGAAATATAACCATCATGTTAATTTACGTATTGTATGGTCTGTGGCCACTTTTGTGCTACAGCAGCAAGATAGGATCATTATAACAAAGCTTAACATATTTACTCTGAGAACATTTGGAGGAAACACTTGCTGACCCTTGTAAAAAAAGTCAAACAACAAAAACTCAACTGAGAAATGTCCAAACTACTGGCACATTTCAATTGGGGGTAGTACTAACGTTTTGAGCCTTTGGCCTCACAATCTAAAAATATTGAGTTAAGATCTAATTTCAAATACGGAGTTGTAGGTAAATTAATAAAGAATATCATTTAAAAAAATAACTTTGCAAATTTATTTTGATTTTTAAAAAATCAACTTAGCGCCAAGTGTTTGTTAGCCACAGCAGTAAAGTTAGAAGTCCTGCTCAAGAACTAAGGGGAGGGTCGGGGATTTAGCTCAGTGGTTTCGCCCGAGTTTGATCCCTGGTACCCCACCCCCACCCCGAACAAAAGAAGAACTAAGGAGATAAAATAGAAATGTAGGGGTTTTTTTTCTTCCTGGTTCAAGTATGATATTTTCAAATAGTGACTTCTTTTCCTTTCTCTTAGAGACGACTGGTTTCTGAAAAGGATATGACTGTCGGAATACTCCAGTGAGAAGGATGAGTCCAGATGTGCCTCTGCTGAATGATTACAAACAGGACTTCTTTCTGAAGCGCCTTCCACAAACTATTCTTGGAGGCCCTCGACTCAAATTAGGCTATTGTGCCCCTCCTTACATATATGTGAATCAAATTATCCTTTTTCTGATGCCATGGGTTTTGGGTGGAATAGGAACAGTTTTGTATCAACTAGGCATTCTAGAAGACTATTATACAGCAGCACTTTCAGGTGGTCTGATGCTTGTTGCTGCACTTGTCATCCAGTTCACAAGCATAAAGGCTAAAACCAAATCAGTGACAGTGGAAAGAATATTAACCAGAGATATCTTAGCAGAAGAAGATGAGCATGAATTTACAAGTTGTGCTAGTGCTGAGACTGTCAGATTTCTAATTCCGGGCAAGAAATATATAGCCAATACAGTTTTTCATTCTGTTCTTGCTGGATTGGTGTGTGGTCTTGGAACGTGGTATCTGCTCCCAAGTAGAATAACCTGGCTATATGGCTGTACAGGAGGCACTGTTACACTGTTTATCTTTGGATGGATAACACTGTGTATAGGAGAATATTCATTAATTGTAAACACACCTACAGAGACTGCAGCTTTCCAAACCCAGGACACTTATGAAATCACTCCTCTCATGAGACCTCTTTATATTTTTTTCTTTGTTTCTGTGGACCTTGCACACAGGTAAAAAAAGAACCTACCAAATACTTCATAACTGTCTTTGTTTGTAAGCGTATCTGGTAAGAACTCTTCTTAGTGTTTTTAAAACGAATTTGTGGATTAAAAATCGTGATGACCAAGTCATTGGATAATAGGTTATTTTGATGATTCATCTTTTAGGACCAATCTCTGATATATTCATACTTAAAGCAATAGTTAAATCTTATTGAAGAGTAAAAATAATTGCCCTTTTTAAGATAAATGAGCCAGGCCAGGGATTTAGCTCAGTGGTTTAGCTGCCTGCTTTGCAAGCGCAAGGACTCAAGTTCAATTCCTGGTACCAAAAAAAAAAAAAAAAGATAAATGAGCAATTTTTCAATCCTGTACATCACTTTAAATAAAGAGCTTTGAAAATCTTTAAGATAACCTGGCTAAACCTGTGAAAAGAAATAGAACTTTCTTTCCTGGATAGATGGAAATAATTTAAAATGTATATGTTACATACAGATTGAGTGAATTAAGATGAATAAAAAATTACTTCTGATATTTTTATGGTAACAGAATATTGATTTTTAAAGTAGTTATAGAAGAAAAAATAGAAAATCTTTCAAAAGATACTTAACACAATTATCCAAACTGTTGCATAACAAATTTTTTGTGCTTTTCTAAATCTGACTTTTCTTTTTCTGTTTCTGTAGATTGCAGCTTTCTGTTACCCAGGTTAGTGTCCAGGTAGAAATGTACAGGCATGTTATGAACTGAATGTTTGTGCTTCTTTGACCCCACTGCCAAATTCTTCTGCTGAACCCCTAAACTCCATGTGATGTTACTTGGAGATGAACCTTTTGGGAGATAATTTGGTCTTGAAGGTGGGGCTGTAGTCTGTTGGGATTCATATGCCCTTATAAGAGAAACAAGAGAATGTGATCTCTCTTTATCCACCATGTGAAGACACAGCAAGAAGGCAGCCACCTGTAACCTCAGAAGAGGGCCCTCACCAAAACCTGACCATACTGGCAGTCTGACTATGAACTTTCAGCCTCCAGAAGTGTGAGAAAATAAGTCACCCAGTTTTGGTGTTTTGTTATGTCAGCCCAAGCTAAGATTTTAGTACAGAGAGATTGGACACTGCAACAGATGCCTAAAAATGTGGAAGTGGCTTTGTGACTAGGTAATGGGTAGAGTGAAAGAGTTTGGGCATACATGCTAGAAATAGAGAAGGTACAACTAATTCTGATAACATCTCAGATGGAACTGAGGAACATATTATTAACTACTGGAAGAAAGGTAACTTCTGTTATAAAGTGGTAAAGAACTTGGCTAAACTGTGTTCTAATGTTTTGTAGCAGACAGAACTTAAGGTGATAAATTTGGATATTTAAGGAAATTTTGAAGCAAAATGTTGATGAAACACCTTGATTCCTAAATGCAAAAGGGAGAGATGAAGAAGAAATTGTAAAAAAAAAAAAAAAAAGCAACTGGAACTTGAAAATTTGTAAAATTCCCAACCTATCCATTTTGTAAAACAAACATAAGAAAGAATATTCTGATGAGAACACCCAGAGTGTTGCTGGGCTATTGCTTAATAAAGTGCTTAAGGGATTATGTGAGTGGAAACACTGCCCCTTTGAAATGAAAATGTTGGAGATGTGATAAAAAGGAGGACTGTTGAACTTCTTGGATTTGACAGGACAGGATGATAGATTTGGAGGCAAATCTTCAAGATAAAGAAAAATGATGCCCAAGGTGAGATGAGAGGTCATCTGGGCCACCACCTCAGTTTCAGTAGGTCTCCTGACCTCCACCTTAAGCTTCAGAGGCAAGACCACTTCCCAGAGCTGTGGGGGTGACTCGAGCTGTAGAGGTAGCAGTGCCACTCCAAGATCCTAGAGGACAGAGTACACAAGCAAAAGGCATTATTCCTCAGCCTTAAGATCAAATGCAATTTTTTTTTTTTGCTAGGTTTTGGACTTCTTGGACCCATTGCTCTCTTTTTTTCCTTTTATAGAGGATGTTTCTCCTGTTCCTGCACCGTAACTGTACTATATTTTGGAAGTACAATACAGTATTTACCTAGTTTCACAGGTTCACAGCTGGAGAGGATTTTGCCTCAGGATGGACTGTGAGTCTCACTCCTATCTGACTGAGGTGATAGATGACTGTAGAGTTAATGCTAGAATCTGTGAAGAACCTTGGAGTTTGGGGCAGGGCAGTGACAAAATGCCATAGACTGAATTGTATCCTCCCGGATTCTACTGTGGAAGGCACAAAGAAAGGACCTTTGAGAGGTGATTAGGTCATGAAAGTGGGATCCTGGTGTGATGGCATTAGTTCCCTTATAAGAAAAGACCCATGATAGCTTGATCTCTCTCTGCCATGTGAAAACTCAGCAACAAGGCAGCCATGTGTAAACTAAGAAGAGGGCCCTCACCAGACACTGACCATGCTGGCACCCTCATCTTGTACTTCCAGCCTCCAGAATTGTGAGAAATAAATTTCTGTTGTTTAAACCACTCAGTGTACCATATTTTGTTATGGTAGCACAAGCTAAGACATGTTAAAATATTTATTTTGTGTATAAAAGGTGACCTCTTCTTGAGTATATGTTCACTATTTCTTAAGTTCTAATCTCTACTTGTGCTACATTTGTGGACCAGGGGACCATGTAGGAGCCTTGTAGTTCTTCACATAATCAAATATGTAAGGGGAATATTCATAAGAAATTCATCTACAGTTGGTTTCTTAATTTCACCATGATTTATTAATGTACATTACAATTAAATGCTTGATTTTGAAAAGGTAGTAAAATTATGTTTAGGTGTATGTATAAATACGATTCTTTTTTAAAGATTTAAGTTTTTGTAAGTTTTTTTTCAGAATACAGATTCTTCAGTTATTGTTAATTTTTAAATGAGAAATTATATATCTGCTGTAGTACATTTTTGCATCTAAAATGGTATTCTAAATTCTTTAGTTTTATTTAAAAGGTCAGACAGTTAATTTAGATGCCTTGACTTTCTGCATTACTTATTTCTTTTTTTTTTGGTACTGGTAATTGAACTCAGGACCTTGCACTTGTGAGGCAAGTGGTAGAACCACTGAGCTAAATCCCTGGCCTGCATTACTTATTTCTTAATGAAATTGCATAAGTTTCTTACTAAGTTCATCCTGGATTTAATATATTATTTTAATGTTTAAAGTTTGATAGCTGGGAATGTAGCTCAGCAGCACAGTGCCTCCCTGACAAGGGCGAGGCCGAGTTCAATTCCCAGTAACAAAAATAAATAAACAAACTTTGATAATTACAGACTTTTTTTTTGGTACTGGGGATCGAACTCTGGTCCTTGCACTTGCGCAGCAGGTGGCGAAACCACTGAGCTAAATCCCCGGCCCTAGATTTTTTTTTTTATTATGACTAAAAGAAAAGTGAAAGGCTGTCCCCACATCTGTTTTTGAGGAAGAAATGACAGGCTTATGTAGGAAAATAACCTCTCATTTCTTTTTAATAATAATTTACCTTATAAATAGCAAAATAATAAAGAATTGAGATGATCCTTACACAATAGGTATGATAATACAGCCAAATATATGAAATTCATGTACTCTTCAACTCTGGACAGTTGTCAGAAGTATCAAATTGTTTCCTAGTTTTATGTCAGAGGATGTGAAAGCTGAAGAGTTATTACTGTACCCATAGTACAGTAATTTTTTTCTTTATTCTTTATTCTACACAGCACAGTTGTCCGTTAACAATGTGAATGACTGTGCAGTTATCAAAGAAACATGAAATCTGCAGCGCTGAGCTCAGAGACAGAATGAGTAATGTACATTTACATCCTCTTAGCCTCTGTACTGAACATCTTCATGGCATTGCATCTCAGTGTGCAGAATTGGAAACATTTTTATAGTTGTTTGGTTAAAAAAAAATTTTTTTTTCCTAAACAGACACTAGATTACCCTAAAAAATTTCTGTTACATTTCCAGAAACTTTAGATTTAAATGTATTTCCATATAAAAATTAACAGGAATAATCATCTATTTGGGGCTGAGTTATATATACAGAATATTATTTATCATATCCTTGTATATACTGTCCTGCTGCTTAAATTTTAAAAAAATTTAGAAGAGGATCAAATTTTGATGAGATTAATTTTCAGAGTACACCTTCTACTCATACACAATATCCTTGAGTATGTTTGCAAGAGGAGTGTTGTCTTAAAAAAAAAAAAAAAAAACTAGAAATCTGCATGTTTTCCTTGACCTGATTTTCTTTTTTATTGAGTGGTTCTTTACTGGAATGGTACGAGTTTTATTTTAAAATAATACTGTGGAAAATGCTGTCCTCTTAATTTCTCATTACATTGTTAACCTGTGTTCCATTAATTGTCCTCTTAATAGCAATTTGAAGGTCCTACCTACAGTATGATGCAGTGAACTAGCTGGCATAGGCCTAGCATCTCTGTGAGCAGACATGCTTTGTATCATTATTATGCAGATAGGTGCTATCCTTTTTGCTTTTGGACTGTGAACGTGGACTCAAGTGGGTTAACACTGCAGAAGTTGTTTTTTTCCTTGACTTGATTCATACCTAGCAGCCCACCAATTCAAGTACTGTACAATTGGGCTATAATTTTTGAACTTTAGTTTTGTCTTTTGAAAGTGTTTACTTGTCCATATGTACCCTGACCTTGTTAGTCTCTGGATATAATGTTTGCTTAGCTGTATTCTAAAAATTTTGTAAATTGTTCATAATGTTTATTTTACTATGCTTTCAATGTTTATTGAATTATTATTTAGTTTAATAATGTTATTTCATTTCAAGTGCTGTATCAAGTATCAGTTTTTCCACTTAAGGGAGAGGCAGCTCCTACTTTGTTAGGAAATGTTGTTATGCAACTTGGTGTTCTCAAACCATGCCATTCCCTGTACAACATAGAATATATGCTAGTTATGTTTCCAGGATAACCCACAGAGATTTGGTCATAACCTGAATTGCCACCTATAGATATTAAGTATGCTGACTTCAGATGCTGAGTCAGAGCAGAACAGTAGAGGAGAGAAGAAGAGAAGAGCTTTCTCCTGTGCAAACTACTAATATATGAATGTTCCTGAGGCTTGGTTTTTCCACAGTGACTTGCAGTTTTAAATTATGAAGTTCTAAACTGTACAGAATCATTGGTAGATCTCAGCCAATGAGATTAGATTTAAAGGAGAAATACTTTTGCTCTGGCCTCAGTTGTTTAGCTTTACACATGCCTGCATTCAATTTTATTACTATTCATTGATGGCTTTTAATTAATTCTTATTTGCCTGTTTGAATCTGTATTTTCTTTCTCTAAATGCTAAACTTGTTCACAATTGAGTAGAGACGGTTGCTGGTTTAGGGGAGTGACGGTGGTCACAATATGTATAGCACGTTTACAAATCAGGACTAGAACTTTCTCTGTGTTCTTTATTTTGGGGGGCATGTGTGGTTTTGTTTTATTTTTTCTTGGAAAGATCTTCTTTATATTCTGTATGATTTAAATGTCATCTTTTACTTGTAGGCTTATCAAAAATACACCAGCTCTCCAGCATATGAATCAGATTTTGCACATCTTGTTTATATTTTTACCCTTCCTGTGGGCATTTGGGACTCTGCCCCCACCTGATGCTCTTTTCTTATGGGCAATGGAGCAGGTTTTAGAGTTTGGCCTTGGAGGCTCATCTATGTCAACACACCTACGGTAATTTAAAAAATATCATTGTAATATGTAAGTTCCTCTTAGAGAACACTTTTCGTTTCAAGTAAATCTTGTTTTTTCTTTCCTCTACAGGTTGTTAGTAATGTTCATCATTTCCACTGGAACAGCTGTAACATCATATTTTATTCCAAGCACTGTTGGTGTGGTTCTTTTCATGACTGGACTTGGGTTCTTACTGAGTCTTAACCTAAGTGATCCAAATTTTGTCTTCAAACACAGCATGACCAGAAACAGAGTAGAAACCAAAGCTCAGACTTCACCCAGGGCTTTGGAAAGGCAGTTTCTGTGGAAAGAGTTCCTCTTGCATGTCATTGTGTTAGTCTTGGCTCTCTTAGAAGCTAGTCTGCTGCATCACTTCGCAGGATTCTCACAAATTTCTAAAAGCAGTTCCCAGGCTGTAGTTGGCTACATTTTGATGCTATTACTTATAATACTGTGGATACTTAGAGAAATTCAAAGTGTCTTTATCTTGGGAATTTTCCGAAACCCTTTCTATCCAAAGGATGTGCTAACTGTGACTGTATTCCTAGGGAAGCAAGCAAAGCTTCTGAGGGCTGGTATTGTCAGACGGATTTTGCTAACTCTAGGTATGATAATAAAATCTAATACCTTTGTATTGCAAACCATATCTTTGAAGTGTTCGTAAATATGATGGCTTTACACTGAATATTCATTGTCTTGTTTATTAGGTTTTTAGTTAAATGCTTAACTGTAGTAATAAAGTATTTGCTAAAATAATATAAAGTATGGTAGAAAAGGTTATGTTGCCTTAAAGCTGTGCCTTTCTTTGTTTTTAGTGTCACCTTTTGCTATGATAGCATTTCTTTCATTGGATAATTCCTTACAGAGGCTCCACTCTGTGTCTGTCTCCATTGGATTCACAAGAGCTTTTCGAATGGTAATCCTAATGTGTACTTAGTAGTCTTTTCTAATTGCTAAGTGTAATTCTGATTTTTTGTTTAATTCTAGCAGTTCGCTCAGATTATCATATTCTACTTGATAAAAGTAGGTCACTTGTATACTGCAGGTATGGCAGAATACAGAAAATGCTTTACTGGAGACAGCCATTGTATCAGCACTTCATTTATTGATCTCCAGTAAAGACTTATGGTGGAACAGGAACCTAAATACAGGAATGAGACTCTTACTGGTAAGTTAATTTTTAATGGCTTGATTGAAAGATAGTAAAATTCACCTATTTAAGTATACTCTTCAGTGGTAGATATTCAGAGTTTTGTAGCCATTGCTACAACTAAGAATGTTTTTAACATCCCCAAAAGAAACCTCACATATGTTGTGGTCATTCACCATTCCCACTCTCCATCTCACTCACAACTATTCCAGACCCAGTGGCCACTTACCTACTTTCTTTGTCTATAGATTTGCCCCTTCTAGACATTTTACTTAAATGGAATTAAATATTTGGTCTTTTGCATCTGGTTTCTTTCACTTCTGTGTTCACAAGGTTCATTCATATTGTAGCCTGTATCAGTTTTTATTTCTATTTCCAAAATATTCCATTGTATAGATACATCACCCTTAGTTGATTCATTCAGATGATGGACGTTTAGGTTGTTTTCCCTTTTCACTATTAAAAGTATTGCTATGAACATTTGTGTGAATATTTTTATATGGACATATGTTTTTATTTCCCTTGGGTATTTCTGTATTTAACTCTTTAAGTTGTTATTCTTTTACACTTAAATATGATAGCTAAAGATTTTTCATAGGTGCGCTTTATCTGGTTGAGCAATTTCCCTTCAGTTATCAAGTTGTTGTTTTTTTTACCGTTAAAGTTATTAGAGTTTGATGACTTTCCTTTTTTTTTGGTACCGGGAATCGAACTCAGGCCCTTGTGCTTGCCAGGCAGGCACTGTGCTGCTAAGTTACATCCCCAGCCCAAAAGTTATTAGATTTTATTAAATCATTTGCAGTGTCTTTTGAAATGGTGATGTGGTTTTGGTCTTTTAAGTCTATTAACATGATGTAGTGGGTTGATTGAATTTTGGTTGTTAAACCATACTTTTCATTTCTGGAATAAATCTCATTTGGTCATGCTGTATAATCCTTTTCATATGTTGCAGAATTTAGTTGGCTCGTATTTTGTTGATTATATGTATATTCATTATGAATGTATATGTGGGCGCAGGTGTGGGTATATATGTATGTTTGTCTGTAGTTTTGTTTCTTTACAGTGTTATTCTCTGGCTTAGGTATCAGGACCACATAAAATGAGTCAGAAGTGTTCTTTACTCTGTTTCATCTGTATTCATAAGACTGAGTGTGTGTGTGTTTGTGTGTGCACGTGTGCATGTGTGTGTGTGTGCATGTCTGTTTGTAGTTCTCTTTATATTGTTCTCTGGTTTAAGTTCAGGACCACATAAAATGAGTTAGGAAGTGTTCCTTTATTATATTTTTTGAAGAGCTAATGAAGGACTGGTATTTATTATTCCAAAATGTTTTACAGTATTCAGTGTATGTTTCAAATGCTTTATGAGATGTATTTTATAGTATTGAAGCCATCTGAACCTCAGCTTTTCTCTGTGAGTTTTTTTTAGGGGGAGAGGTGGGGTTGAGACAGGGTCTCTCCATATAGCCCAGGCTGGCCTTGAACTCGTGGCAGTCCTGCTGCCTCAGCATCCTGAGTTCTTAGATTATGTTTCTGTGAGTTTTTAAATTACTGATTTATTCTCCTATAATTGATCTGTTCAGATTTCCTCTTTCTTCTTGAGCCAGGTTCAGTAATTGTGTTTTTCTAGGAACTTGTAGATTTCATCTAAGTTATCTAATTTGTTGGCATATAGTTGTTCACCCTTAAGGTAAAGGCAGTACAGTGTCACTTCTCTTTAGTGTTACCATTTTTAAAAAAAGAAGTCAAAACATATAAAATATAGCCTCATTTCTTAATTTTGAGGATAGAAAATTATAACAAAGAAGTACATATAAGTTGGGCATAGTGGTGCATACCTATAATCCCAGCACTCTGGGAGCCTGAGGCAGGAAGATCACAGGTTCAAGTCTAGCCTGAGTGATTTAATGACTTAGTGGGAAAATAAAGGGCTGGGGATATAGGTCAGTGCAAAGGCCTTGGGTTCAATTCCAGTACTACAAAAAAAAAAACCCAAATAAACAAAAACCCCAAAACAAAACAAAAAGAAAAAGAATCACAGGACTGTTTCTGAAAAAATATTTGGACAATAATAAAGTGAGTTTCCTTAAGTGATTTTGAAAATTCGTGAAAAGCATTCAGGAGTAAGTAAAAATCATTTTTATGTCTCTGTAGGTTGGTATCATACGTGATCGTCTGATTCAGTTCATCTCTAAATTGCAATTTGCTATAACTGTGCTTTTGGCATCATGGAAGGAGAAAAAACAACATCGAACAACAACTACCACTTTATGCATACTCAATGTTATCTTCTTTCCATTTGTGTTGGTCATCATAGTTTTTTCTACACTGCTGTCCTCTCCCTTACTCCCCCTCTTCACCCTTCCTGTATTTCTGGTGGGTTTTCCCAGACCTACTCGGAGTTGGCCAGGAGCTGTGGGCACTGCAGCTTGTGTGTGTGAGGACACCATATACTATGACCAGATGGTCCCCAGGTTGACTGCTGCGCTGCAGACTGCGATGGCGGGTGGATGTTTAGGTAAGTCAGTGGGTTGTGCTTCAGAAATCCTTAACAAATGCAAAGTCTAAAAAGTGAATCATGAAACAGGTTCCAATATATTGATGTGTATGCAGAGAGATTGTATATGAAATAAAACTATATCTCTACCTTTTTTGAGGTAAATAAAGGTATAAAATAAAAATTATTTGGGAAAATTTCATTAAGGTGATTAGAACATATTTTTTTAAAATTTCCCTATTTAAATTCAGGTTACAGGCACACCACTGAAACATAAAAACAACCCACATGATTTCTATGAGTTTATAATGTGTTCGGGTCAAGTAGATGCAATAACTTAGATATATAAAAAGAGAAAACTAGCTGGTAAGGCAGATGCCTCTTTTTTTTTTTTTTTAGTATATTCCACTATCAAGGCTCCAAAAAGTAAAGCTGATATTCACTATCTCCTTCACCATTTACACAAACAGGCACACAGATTCTTATCAGTTGGGTAGTTGCCCGATGGACACCAAGGCCCATCCTGTGAGTGAACATTGGAAAGTGTAGCAGTCACTCCTGCTGTGTAGTTCTTCTGCACAGTCTGTTATACAATCAGATTTGCACACAGATAACTTTTTTAGCATTACTTATAATAGTGAAGATTGGAAGCATTTGAAATGTTTATTAGCAGGGAAATTAATACTCTAGTTAAGGTAGTTAATGCTCTAGTTAAGGTAGTTAAGGCTGAACTCAGTAACGGTGAATGAACTTTAGTTTGCAGTCAATGTGAGTACATCACAAGAGAACAGTTTTAAAAGAAAAACTAAGTTTTAAAAATATTTATAGTTGTAAATTTTTAAAACCAGAAACAAATTATATTTATATACACATACAAAAATATCCAAAATCTTTTAAATCAATGTGGAATTGGTTCTTATTATATTTAATATTTTTTCCACCTTAACATGTATTTAACCTTTTGTACACACAATGTTATGTATTATCAGAATACATTGTCTCTTCCAACTTCTTGTGAAGAGCTTAATTTACTGCCATTGATATGCAATGAATAGTTATTTCTGTTCATTATTGACCTAATGAGAGGGTAGAAGGAGTTGTGAATCAGTTGTAGTTGTATTCCCAACTTTGAAGAATCATATGGCAAAATAAAACATACTTAAAGAATGATTTCTTTTTTTCCAATTTGTTTTAGGTCTCCTCTTACCTGGATCTCATTACTTGGGCCGTTTTCAAGATCGTTTAATATGGATAATGATTCTAGAACGTGGCTATACATACTGCTGTATTAACATTAAGGTCAGTGTGCATGTGAATCTTACCTAGTTTTTTGGGGGTTTTTTTGGTACCAGGGATCGAACTCGGGACCTTGCTTACCTAGTATTTTTTTATAGTTCATGTGTAAAATTTTACTTGTTATGTATATATCAACAGTAACTCAGTTTGAAAGAATATCTTTTTAATTACCTGTGAAAACTCCTAGCAATTTTTAAGGTATATTTCAGTAAGTATATCGAAATATATTTCAATATATTCCACATACTAATAGCTGAGTAGTATTGATTGTATAGCAAAATATACCTGGTTGCTTTCCTTCCAGTCCTGTTCTTATCCATGTCTAGTTGAGCATTTAAAAAAGGGAAATCAGTAATATTTTCACTTCCTATATCATATATGTAATCATTCTCAGCTTAATGAAAACTATCTTCTCACCTCACTGCAGTACCCTATTTCTGTCCTTCTTTTAAGAGGAAAGTCCCTTATTAGATTGCTTATCATCATCTCCAGTTTCATTTTTCCAGTATGTCTTCAGCTTACTCTAGGTTTCTGACACTGTCATTCCACCAGAATTGCCCCACTTACTATCACACTGCTAAATCCTTCAGTGTGTTCACAAATCCATCTCACTTGACTTGAGCAGCACTTGACATAATTCTCTCCTCTCTTCTGCTTCACAGCTACTCCTGGTCAGTGTCCTTTGATACTTCGTTCTATTTTCTTTCATCTCTTAATCATCCTTGGAGACAATACTATATTTCTAGTTGCTCAAGCCAATAGTAATGGATTCACATTTGACTCCTTTTTTATTTTGATACCCAACATTCAGTCTAACAAGAAATCCTGTTGGCTCTGCCTTCAGCCATATCCTGTATCCCATTACTTCTCACACCCCCATCCTCGGCTACCTTCATCTCTTGCCCAGATAATTGCAGTAGCCTCTTAGTTGCCATCCCTGTTTTACCTACAGTATATTGTCAACTAAAACAATTTTTTAAATGCAGTTCAGATCAGGTCACTTCTATACTCAAACTCACACAGTGGATCTCTTCCTTCATTCAGTGTTAAAATCAAGGCCAAAAATAGCCTCCCTGTTCCCTGATTGCCCTTTCCATTCTCGCCTTTTGGCTCTTCCCTCTGGCTGGAGGAATGTTTTTCAACTAATCATATTAGCCAACCCCCTTACCACCTTCAAGTCTGTGCTCAAATATCTGCTTCTCAATCATTTTGCCTATGGCCATTATATTTAAAATTACAGTCCAGTTCCCACCCCAGCAATCTCAAACCTTGGCTTGCCTCATTTTTTCCTTATTTTCATAGCACTTATACTTTCTAACAAACCAAGTAATTTATTATTAGTTTTATGATTGAATGCCTTTATCCTTTACTGTGTAATTTAAATGTCAAAGGGACAGGCACCCCCTTTTTTTTATTCAGAAATAAAACAGAGCCTGAAACAGTACCTGGCACAGAATAGGCTTTTAAGAAATGTTTGTTGAAAGAGAGAATGAGTGAATTTCATGTTGTAGCACAGATTTGTTGAAACTAGTCCTGGACAAAGACCTGTCCCTTTAGTGCAGTGGTTTTCAAAATGTCCCCAGATGAGTAGCATTAGCAGGAAATGAAAAAAAAATTTTTTAATTTTGTTTTTTTGTGAGAATGTCCCACTATGTAGTTCAGTCTTGCCTTAACTCAGTATGTAGTCCAGGCTGGCCTTGAACTTGGAGCAATCCTCTTGCCTCAGCTTTCCAAATGCTGGTATTACATGTGAGCACCACCATGCCTGGTTGAAATGAAAATTCATGAACCTGAAAGTGGACCTATAGACTCCCAGCCCAGAGGAAGGGGCTTCTGGGCTGCCATCCATCCCGCTGCTACTGGCCCACAGGTAGGGGCTTCTGAGCCACTGTGCCACCGCTCCTGGCTTAGAGGAAGGGGCTTCTGGGCCGCTGTCCTGTCCTGCTGATCTCAGCCCAGAGGAAGGGGCTTCTGAGCCACTGTCTCACCACTCCTGGCTTAGAGGAAGGGGCTTCCGGGCCACTGTCCTGCTGATCCCAGCCCAGAAGAAGGGGCTTCTGAGCCACTGTCCCACTGCTCCAAGCCCAGAAGAAGGGGCATCCAGGCCGCTGTCTGTCCCACCACTCCTGGCCCAGAGGGAGGGCCTTCTGAGCCACTGCCACTGCTCCTGGCCCAGAGGAAGGGGCTTCTGGGCCACCATTCAACTCGCCACTACCAGCCCAGAGGAAGGGGCATTTGGGCCACCATCCTTCCCGCCACTCCCAGCCCAGAGGTAGGGGCTTCTGAGCCACTGTCCTGCTGCTCCCAGCACAGAGGAAGGGGCTTCCGGGCCACTGTCCATCCCACTGCTCTCAGCCCAGAGCAAGGGGCTTCTGAGCCATTGTCCCACCATTCCCGGCTTAGAGGAAGGGGCTTCTGGGCTGCTGCCCATCCCACCGATCCCAGCCCAGAGGAAGGGGCTTCTGAGCTGCCTCCCCACTGCTCCCAGCTCAAAGGAGGTGAGCCATGCAGGCACCAACAGAACCCTCCCGCCTCCCCTGGGTCGAAATGGGAAGGCACATAAGTCTCAAAACCAGACTACCAGATCACCTACAGCAACCCCAAAGGGAAATGAGGTGGAACACTCTGATATTCAACCACCTGGACCCACTGAACTGGGAACAAAAGAGGATCTGGAAAAAATGAAATCAGAAATAATTTCTCAGATAACAGCAGAGATTGTGCTCATATTGCAAGACATGATTAATAAATCTAGAGAGGAGCTGAGGAACATGATGGAATCCCAACATAGGAAACAAATGGAATCCATAAAACAGATGCAAATAGATTTCCAGGAGATGAAAAACTCCATTGAAAGTCTACACAGCAGAATGAGCCAATGTGAGGATAGAATTTCAGATGTAGAAGATAAGATTTCAATTAGTGACCAGGAAAAGAAAAATTGCTTCAAAATTGTAATTGAACACTTGAAATCAATCCAGCAGCTGATAGACAATGCAAAGAAGAATAACATAAGACTGATTGGAGTCAAACAAGAAACAGGAGAGTGCAGACGACATAAAAAAATCTCTTCACATTAGTAATGGCAGAAAACTTCTCAAGCAGGGGAAAAGAGCTCGACATACACATAAGTGAGGCATATAGGATTCCAAATAGCCTTGATAAAAAAAAAACTACACATACGCATATAATTGTTAAGATTACAAAAACTCAACAGAAGAACAAAGTTCTACAAGCAGTTAGAGAAAAGAAAGAAATCACATACAAAGGAAAGCCAATCAGAATCACAGTAGACTTCTCAAGACAAACCATCAAGGCAAGAAGAGCTTGGAGGGACATATTCCAAGCCCGAAAAGAAAACAGCCTCCAACCCAGATTGATGTACCCTGCAAAACCATCTTTCAAAATTGATGGAGAAATAGATACTTTCATGACAAAAGAGAACCTTAGGAACTTAATGAGTACCAAACCAGCACTCCAAAAAATTTTAGACAATATCCTAGGAACAGACAATGAGGATCACAACCCCAGGAAGCAAAATAGAATGAACCCATCTGGCGTGACAAGAAATTAAATGTAAAGGGGGAAAACACAACAAAAAGAAAAAGTCATGACAATGATGTCAGTACGTTTTGGTTTTAACCATCAATGTTAATGGCCTCAATTCACCAATCAAAAGAAATAAACTGGCAGAATGGGTCAAGAAGCAAGATCCAACAATATGCTGCATACAAGAAACACACTTAATTCAAAATGAAACTCATAGACTGAAAGTTAAAGGATGGAAAACAATACTCCATGTGATGGGAACCTGAAAAAAAGCAGGGACACCATTTGACCCGCCACTCCCAGCCCAGAGGTAGGGACATCTAGGCTACCATTCTTCCCGGCACTCCGAGCCCAGAGGTAGGGGCTTCTGAGCCACTGTCCCGCCACTCCTGGCACAGAGGAAGGGGCTTCTGGGCCACCGTCTGTCCTGCCACTTTGCAGATCAAGTAGATTTCAAACCAACACAGATTAAGAGAGACAAAGAAGGACACTACATCCTTGTAAGGGCAACAATCAAACAGAAATGATAATCATAAATATCTATGCAGCAAACACTAGTGTGCCAACTACATGAAACAAATACTAATGAACATGAAAAGTCATATATGCCTTAATACAATTGTAGTGGGGGACCTCAACACCCCACTGTCACAGATAGATTAACTAGACAAAAATTAAGTAATGAAATACTAGAACTCAAACTCTTGAACAAATGAACTTAACATGTTTACAGA